AGACGATACAATAAATGCATTCAATTAAATGGAGATTTAGTTGAAAAATCTAGAATTTAAAGTTAATTCATGTGTGTTAATTTAATTTTATTTTACTGCGTTTTTTGTAAATTTTATGTTAATGTCTCATTTGTTTTTCTGTTTATTTCATTGTATTTTGATATAAGGATGTCTATTAAATGTGTTATTAAATATTTGTTGTGATTGATTTGTTATCGCATGGGTTACTAGATAAAAAGCTTCTTAATGCATAATAAACAATTTGACAGCAATTTAGCCATAGAATCGTTAATGTTGAATATTTTTTCATGAAATTTGGTACAGATCCATTTCAGGGGACGCCGAATCCAGTGGCGTACGCAGATTTTTTCTAAAAAAGTCGCTAATATGGACTCTGGATTTTTCAGCCTCTGAATGTGATCTAGTAGGCCTTGGTTTTAAAAAAAATTGGACGCCGCTTGGCCCCAAAATACACCTTTGCTCCCTCTACATTTCAAAAAAAAATTTGTCAAAATCGCTTCATAAATAAAAACGTTATGAGGGTGGCCCGCTTTCAAATGGGTCACTCTGTAGAAGGGCTCTCAAGCTTTCAAACGTTTTTTGAAAAATTCGAATCCGTCAATTAGGAGAACTTTGACACTTGTTTAAACATTGGTCGAATTTTTGTACTTATAAACAATTAGAATAATTTTGTGAATATTCAATCAAATCAAATTCTTTAAAGCAGGTTCTAAAAGTTCTTGGAAAGACGCTTCTTTAAAAAAAAAACATATCGATTGGTCAATTACATAGTTATAGCCGATCAAAGTTAACCGTCATTTACAGTAAATGTACTGGGACATCTGGGCAAATTTTTCGAAAAATACCTTTGGTATTCCGAGTACTTACCAGGTCTAAGTTTGCAATACTTTTCTTCATTGGTAACCTACTTTAAAACATGTTTAACGTTATTTATGTAAGCGAGAAATTCGAGAAAATCGTACGGGTGGTGGTGGTGGGGAAAGCAGAGAGCGGGGCCGCTTCGGCCTGCACGAAATTAAATCTGCGAGTTCAAAAGCGCGATGCGCTTAAAAATTTTTAATATTTCAGCTTCTAGAGGTTTGATTTTCATGATTTTTTTTTAAATCGATGTCTCGTGATTTTAAAAAAAACAATTAGCGTATTTTCAAATGCCTATNCGCTTCGGCCTGCACGAAATTAAATCTGCGAGTTCAAAAGCGCGATGCGCTTAAAAATTTTTAATATTTCAGCTTCTAGAGGTTTGATTTTCATGATTTTTTTTTAAATCGATGTCTCGTGATTTTAAAAAAAACAATTAGCGTATTTTCAAATGCCTATAGTTAATAATTATTGGTCTTCCTTAAATTATCAACTTTATTTTTCTATTGTAACAAAGGTAAGTGCATAAACTTATATACTGTTATCAAAGATCAAAAACAAATTTATGTAAATATACTAAAATTGTTTAAACAACAATTATTTTCAAAATATGTCGAGAATTAGTAATATAATGAGTTAATTTCTCATTTGCTTATATTTTAACCAATAAATAATATTTGAATTATACTTTAATCACAAAAGAAATGATGATTAAATTAATAAATTAATTATAACAAATCAATTTTTTTTTTGTTTTAAATTTATGAAAATATATTATATTTATTTATTTGTATAAAAATATATATTAAGAATTTAATCGAACTTTTTTACATGGGATTTCGTTTTCTTCTTCGATATTATATTCATCAACTTCTTCATCTTCAAACTCAAAATAATTATTAATTTCCGCGTTGTCTAACACCTCATTCTCGCACTCTACTTCTGCTTCTACTTCTACTTCTTCGATCGAATCTGTTTCGTCATCGATTTCTGTGAAATTTTGAACTACAAATTTTGAAATTTTGGCTATAACTACCTAACTAATTGACCAATCAATGTTTTTTTTTTAAAGAAGCGTTTTCCCAATAACTTTTAAAATCTGCTTTAAAAAAATTGATTTGATTGAATATTCATAAAGTTATTCTAATTATTTATAAGTACAAAAATTCGACCAATGTTTAAACAAGCGCCATAGCTCTCCTAATTAACGGATTCTAATTTTTCAAAAAGCGTTTGAAAGCTTGAGAGCCCTTCTATATGTGATTAAATTTTCAAGTATCTAAGGGCCTTGGTTTTTGCTGTGCAAAATTTTGAAAATTTGCAATTTTTTTTTTAAAATCTGGATTGCAAAATTATTATGCAAAATCTATCGAACCGATTTTGATGAAATTTGGTGTGATGATTCTACATAACATGAAGTTTTCTTGAGCCAAGTATAAAGGTCCTATACCCAATTTAAATACCCCAAAAAAATTCCCTAAAAAGTATTGTTTTTTAACCCCATTTTTGCGATTTTTTCGATTTTTACCATAATAATCATGATTCATTCGATTTGTAACTAGTCATGTTTTGTAAAAAATTTAATTACAAACATTTTTTTCCTCTTCCATTTTCGCCTAAAATCAACTCTTGAAAAGATACATAATTAAATAGGAAGAAAAATATGACATTTTTCGAATTTTTTTAACATATTGTGCCGCCAAAAGTTAAGCCCACGTTTTTTTATGCACATAGAAAAATTTTCATTTCTAGTGATATTTGAAAGCCAAAAAGCCAAAAATCTCCGTGGATATACGATTCACCCAAACCAAAACAGATACCGCCTAGTTTATGTAGAATGATAATGGCGATATGCACCAACTGAAAAAGTTGCACATAATTGTTAGTGCAAGAAAATATGAAAAAAACTTTTTAAAAAGTGCATTTTTCCCTTTTTTTTTCATGTATAAATCGGAGAATATTGACATTAGAGAAAATACTCAAAGGAAAAAAGTTTAGTTTTGGGATTTTCTTCAAAATAAAAGTGATCTGATATTTTTATAAGCATTATTGTTGTTGCAATACAATATACACCGAAAAAAAATTTGTGAAAAAAGATCGTTTTTTCATTAAATTATTTCGGACCTTGATTTAGTCCGCATAGTCCCTCCACTCCTCACACTTTGACTCTGCTCGATTCCTGTGAAATGTATCAATCTTTTTTGCATCAGAACAGTTAAAATACATTTCCGATTTAAACAAATTTTCATAGTTATAAAAGTCTTTGCGTCAAACAATCAAAACCACTTTTGATTGTTATTGTACAGTACGTTGTTTTGCCGTAAACTCACTTCAACTTTGAGCTTTCATATCTCGATGATGATTCATCGTATTCAGAAGATCAAAAGTGGATTTTGTTCGTCAATCCTTCCTCTATTTGATCCTATAAATACATTTGAAGAATATGCAAATACGGTAAGCTCCAGCTCTAAGTATTTTTTCGAAGAAAATTTGAAAAAATTTTAATTCTTGCTAAAATGGATAAAATGAAAAATTTTTAAAAGGAGATTGATACTTGAAGCTCCAAAGGGTATGTATAAAAATTAGGAGCTCAAAATACTCATTGGTTTTACCGTGAGAGAGAATTGAAAAATAAGTATAATTCTGTATTTTCTTAATTAACAATTCAATTGTGCGAAATCTACCCGGCCGATTTCGATAAAAAAATTTCTACAATACTACCATTAACCATTCTTTTTATACGGCTGCTCTAAAGTCAAGGTCCGAAATAAATTCATCAAAAAAGATGTTTTTTTGCAATTTTTTTTTGTTCAGTCTATGCTGTATTGTAGCAACAATGCACATAAAAATTTCGGACCACTTTTATTTTGAAAAGAATCTCGAAACGAAACTTCTTTTCCTTTGACTATTTCCTCTAATATCAATATTCTCCGAGTTATACATTAAAGAAGGGAGAAAAATGCAAAAGAGTTGTCAATTATATAACATACTACCTTTCTTTAAAGCATTTGGGACAGCATCAGGTTTCAATTTATATTTCGATTCAAACATATTTTCATCAAAATGTTTGCTGCAAATCTGCTGGTTTTTTAAAATTTGTAATCTTGATGAAGGTGACACCATTAGCCCACAAGCTTTCAACCATTGTTCGCCTCTACAAAAATAGTAAAAACAAATATTAATCACAAATTATTTTTCATAGGTGATTTTTATTATTTTAATAGTAATATTTTAATACATTATATACAATATGTTCCTCTTAAGGATTAGTGCTACACTTTAACTTTATTATTATTATTATCCAATTTTAAGATTATGGTCAACTTTTGATTGATTGGTTAATCTCGTGAATGTGTCTTGTAGGTGTTTTTTTTAAAGAAAAAATTTCAATGGATCCGTACTTGGAGAACTTGAATACAAATAAATATACTGGGTTTTTTGAAAACCTAAATCACCGCAGCTTTAATTGATCTGTAGCGAGCTCCTGAAATCTCGATGTCGTTTTATCGACATCGAGATAATTACGAAGTCAATCTCGATCGATTCCACTCGAAATGTAAATTGGTACTCTTGAAGCACATCGATACAGACTTATTATTAGTTCGGCAAATTTGGGGTGATGTGATATACCACCACGGTTAAGAAATAAGAATTAAGCAGTTTAGCCAACTGAGTGATATCTTTATTTCTGTCTAACATACGGCATTCAGCTATATATCTCTTTTTGCTTGGCGTCCCGCTATTTCGTTAAATTTTAAAGTGAATACCTATCATCTAATAAATACATTAACAAAAATTTATAAAATTAAACAGTAAAACATGAAATTTGATTTACTTTATATTTAAAGGTTTTATGCGTACCTACAAATAATTTGTGTAATTATTTCACTTACATAAAAATATTGCATGTTATTTAATTATGTCTATTGTTTCACATTTAAAAGAAGTAAAAAGAATTTCGGAACTTCATACCCAATATTAAATTATTTTGTGCTTTCTGGTTTTATGCATGGTGAACATCACTGGAATGAGTAGACTTCTTGCTTCAAGTCAATAAACTACTAATAGAGAAATATAAGAATGTCACAGAAGTTATTTATTAAAACCTCTCCAACAATTGGATAAAATTTTCATGAACAGTTAGAGAAAAGTATACCGGTAAATAGACACACTCATGACAAGAACAAGATTTGTAACATTATGTAGTACAGTAGAGTCACGATAACGTGAACACTCATTAATCTGAACAACTCAGTAATGTGAACACGATTTTTCTTACGTTGACCACCTTATAACATGAACAACCTAAACCATCAATTATGTGAACATGCGTGGATGATGTAATCTTTAGTACTCTTTTTACATTCTTCCGAGGCGCATTGTTAAAATTCGTGTCTACACTTGTCTGTTACAAGTGTTTATATATAGGGCTGGAAAATCCACATGGTCCATTTGCCTTTACATGAGAACGAGAAAGTAAAGTAAAGAAATACGTGCAATAGACAAAGATGGCTACAGTGAAGACGTTTCATAATCTGAATAGTCACCACCCGTTTCGGGTTAGAAGTGGGAGTGACTATTCAGATTATAAAATGTCTTCAATGTAACCATCCTTGTCTATCACATGGATTTCTATGACTTACTTTATCGCTCTCACGTAACGGCCGATGTACCATGGGGATGTTCCGAACCTGTATATAAAAGTACCTACTGTGAAATGAAATGGGCAAGATGGGCAAGACTAGAGGCAAATCGTTTGTGCAATTAAAAATAAAAGACGAATGATATGTGAGAAAGTGGCAAACACAGAAAAACCAACAGGGCAGCGTACACTAAAATCTGCGGAATTTCCTAAAATGGAGAACAGACTTTACAAGTGGTTTCTTACTCAAAGAGAAAGAAATATTCCCATCAGGTGACATGATCAAACAAAAGGCTTCGGAGTTTAAAACCAGTTCTGAATGGTTGAGGGATGGTTGCAACGCTTTAAAACTTGGTATGGAATACGCTTTTTAAATGTAACTGGAGAAAAGTTATCTTCACAACCCGAGCTTGTGAACCCATTTAAACTAAAGTTAATGCAAGTTATTGACGAATTGGATCTAAATAAACATCAAATTTATAACGCTGATGAGACAGGCTTATACTGGAAAATATTACCTGACAAAACATTTGTTTCTATACATGAAAAAGTCACACCTGGTTTAAAGACTTCTAAGCAAAGAATTACGTTTTTGGGATACACAAATGCATCGGGTCTTCATAAGGTAAAGTCGTTAGTAATAGGAAAAGCAAGAAATCCTCGATGTTTTAAACACTTTGTTAAGCCCATGGTCTGTCTACAAGAACACGAAAAATGCTTGGATGACTATTGAAATTTTCAAATACTGGTTTTTTCAAATGTTTGTTCCCGAGGTAGGTAATATATAAAATTAAAGCGTTAGCTAAATCGACTTTATATGGACTTTTATTACAGAGCTGTGTCTTTAGTTTAACACAAAATCATTTTAGGTAAGAAGTTTTTTAAGAAGTCAGGGCTTACAAGAGAAAGCTGTTTTGCTATTGGACAACGCTCCATCATATCCGCGAGCTGATGAGTTAAAGTCAGAGGATGGCATGATATTTATGATGTTTATGCTCCCCCCAAATGTCACTCTATTAATTCAACCTCTTGACCAAAATATTCTTAGACTTACTAAACTCTACTATCGGAACAGCTTGCTCAGTTCAATTCTCAATTCTGGTCAGCCTATAGGAGAAGCGCTTAGAAAATTTACATTAAAAGGTGCAATATTGAATTTAGCAGCGGCATAGTGATAGCAAAATGTTGGAAAAACTTATTGGAGGAGGAGGAGGAAGAGGAGCATGAGGATAATATAACACTTAGTGTTCTACAGCAGAAATGGAAGGATGGCGGTGTAGTCGATGATGATGTAGGGAACATGATTATTCTTTTACGGGCTATAGAACCTGTAAGTTACATACCTACATATGCTTGCAAGAAACTGAGACTTTGTACATACATACGTATTTAGGTACATAAATTTTTTCCTTTTATTTTCTGTACAGAGTGAGTATTCTACATCGGACATTTAGATTTGGAATCAAGATGAAATAGAAGATAACAATCCATTGGAAGAGAGTGAGTATGAAGCAAACTCAGAGAGCGATCTAGAAATGATTGACACTGAAGAATCAACCACTATTAACCATTCAGAAACTGTGCAAGCCTTAGGTGCTGCAATTAAATGGGCTAAACAGAATGCAATTAATATGAGTGACATTATAAAACTAAAAACTCTTCAGGAAAAGGCAACAAAAAGTTCAGCCAAAAATAACGGCATTTTATCAAACTGTTTAATTATTACATTTGTTTCTTGTACATATTTAAGAAAAATATCGTTTTAGATTTTTATAATGTTTAAGAAGAAATAAATTAACTAAAGTTATACAACTGTGTAAGTTTTTTATACCTTCATTAGTGTGAACACCCTCGATACTTTGAATAAGGCCAGATTTTTTGTGCTCAACGTTATCGCAACTCTACTGTATTTATATTTATTTAATGCATACGTACCATTATGTTTATTAATATCAATGCTTGCTCCTAAAGAAGAACATAATTATGTTAACACAAAAGGTACCGTTCAAAAACTGTTCAAATAGTTGTATATATAAACATTTACCTATGATATAAGCAAGTATCTGACACTTCATGTTGGGTTAGGTTAAATATGTAAAAAGCAACAAAACACAAAGGCAAATACATACATGGTGTGGCGTCTTTAATGCAGAAAATTAAAAACCTAGACTCTTGACAATAAATGAAGTAAAATAATATATGTTACCATAAGGCGATTGAGATTTGAGTATCAAAAATATTTTCCAAAAAATTACAAGAAGTGACAAAATGTTAATGCCGGTCCTGTTTAACATAGCGCAAAAAACATTGACCTAGTCCGCACTCCGTACGGCATCTGTGGAGTGTCAGCTAGTGTCTTGCGGGTTGCGGGCGAATTGCTGCTGTGTCAAAAAGATCACGCTTCTGCTGTTTAGACGTTAAGTGTTTATTAAAGACGTTTCTTATTTTTTATTTCTTAAGTTACTGTTTCAACTAAATTGCCAATGGATAATGAGGACAACAATAATACATTTACTACTATTGAACGTCCTGACATGGTGATAGTTATAATAGCGGTAAGTATGCATCTTTTTTGTTTGTCGTGAGCCAACCTATCACTTGCTAAAATAATAGTAGTCTTTTCTGTAACACCATGTACTTTGTTTCTACAAACCTCTTGTCTGGGATTGCACATTATCATTTACAGTGAAATAACTAATTGAATTTTATGTTTACTTTTCCTTTTAATTAAAATGAGAGTATTGTATTAAACTGGCCAAAATTATTTATTATTGCATTAAAACATTTTATCTCTTTTGTGTGTAATTCATACATTTTAATTTGGTAACACTGATCTGCGCAAAGGCTCGACTCTCTGTTAGGTTCAGTTCGGCAAGTGTGCGCTGATGTTAATCGAATGGCACGACATTTTTTGACCAGGACCGTACTAAGATTTATTTCTTCTCTAAAAAATTGAAGTTCAATATTCTTGACAAAACGTGGATATATTAATTTCTTATATAAGGCTTTTTTATTGCATATATTCCTAGGAATCTGCATTTTATTTTTTCTGCACTAAAGACGCCACACCCTGTATTTATAATGTTCAAAAGAAACAACAATAATCAATAAATGTGATAGAAGAGAGCAAATCATTTCGGCTAGCCAAGATTCCTCGATATTATATCGATTCAAATGGGCGGGGTTTCAATATTGTTTCGATGACAAAATTTTCAAGAGTACCGATGCATCAATATTATTTCGATCTCGATTCGGAATCATCAAATTGATATTTCACGAGTTCCTGCACTGGATTATCAGCATATTATGATAAATCATTTATTCTAATAAACTGAAGTTTTAAACAGTGACAAAAAAAAGTTAATGCAAAATTGCTAAATTTTGTCATTATTAATACTGTCTACAAAATAGTAATACATTAGGGATAAGCAAAAAATCAAATTTCACAAAAAAATCCAAAATTTCGCATTTATTCGTTAAAACCAAAAACAAATCTTCAAGTCAGCAACAGATTAATAAAGTTGTAAAATAAAAAAAATTCTCACTAAAAAAAATATTGGCAAAACATTTTTAAATTTAACTGAAACAACAGCCTGTCTGTGATGACAATGTCCATAAACTTTGAACTGGCTTTTGCAAAATTTAGATGAATGTATTTAGTTGCCCATAAAACCTGAAGCACATCGGGAGTGTCTGTTTTATCTGCTGCAGCTAAGAGTTGTCGATGAATGTGACAATATCATCCATCAATAAGCTCATATTGCGGGATATTTTTAAATAACAGAGTTTTGAAAAACTTACAAGAAATCTTTCCTGAGTGATTGCATAGCAATAGCTATAGAGGCACAAAAAAGTGTAACAATATGTAGGCAGGCCTTGTTTATTTCCATATTTCGCATTTATTCACATTTTTTTCCATAATTTTGCATTTATTCACATTTATTTCGTAAATACGAAAATTATGAATCCTTAATAATAATATATTATATAATAAATTAAAAATTATTTTCATTGTTACCTTATTGGATCTACTGGAAAACTGAAAAATGGGTTTTCTGCCGACACCTTACTAGTACAATTTCTGTAAGAACAAATTCCAGAGGAAGTTGATGGCGATATCTACAAAATACATAATATAAGCAAGACAAACGTTTAAAAAAGTAGAATATACAAATACAATTAACACGGCGTTTACCCATCTTATCAACAGCTTTTGCTGCTTCATGCAAAAAAAGTATAAAACAGTTCAAATTAAGGAGGTTTATCTGATTTGGAATTGACAAACAAATATTCATACAAAAATTAATATAAGCTTATTAATATGAAGAAAATCCTCAAACAAAATTATGAGTAGTTTGGGTACCTAAGAGACGAGATATTAATAAAATAATTTTTCACGATTTAGTACGAAGTCTTATGAGAATGCAGATTTTTTTGGTCTTTCCACTTAGAATGTGCAACAATTGACAAACAGTTTCCACAGCAACTTGTATAAATAGGAAACCGATATCTAAGGAACCATATGATAGCTTGTAGAAATCGATTAGGTACTTGTAAGATACATAATTTATAATAATTCTCCTTCAAACTGCTGTCGTTGACTAACTTATCCTCCATATGTGTGATAGCGCGGTCTCGACGTAGCGTCGTTTGAAATTTGCAGGTATCCAAGCAAACAGAATGATCGAACGCGAGCGAGTAAACGCCGAGATGAGCGAGCCAGCCAAGTGCAACATTGAAAAATCTAAAGGCTTACTACTTTAGTCACTAGCGAATCTACAGAAACTCTCGTTAGACTTTAGATGTACCTCCGTACCTGATAAACCTCCTTAATATGACAGATTATGTACTTTTTGAACTTTGTGCATTAAAACTGCATTAAAGTTCAGTTATAACGGCAAGTAAAATAAAAATTAGAAACCTATGCTTAAGAACAAACTGTAGGAAATACATTTTTTTAAATAAAACTCTTTGTACCTTTTTATGTTGTCACAAAAAAAGTATTGCTTTAACATCATAAGAATATTTCTTGAAATATCATCTATACCATTTTTCCAAAAATTTCATTCACGGATATAATTTTACTAAAATGTAAGTGTATACAACCCTATCATTAGACGAGCATACACAGACGGATAAATTGGTCAATTTAATCAGTAAAAATATGACTCGACAATCAAGCCCGTTACATATCAAATCTATCACGATGACACTTTATGGATGCTTAAGATGAACCAATTTAATCGGTATAGATTTGACTCACATATCAGACTCATCAAATCTGTCATGGCAATTAGGGCACATATTTGATCCCCTGACTTGATACTCCGGTTGATACATTTGTTAAAATTTGAATGTTAATATCAAACCCACCATTTATTTAATTTGCTTTGCGACTTTTTAAGAAAACTAAAAGTTTTTTTTTGGGTTTGCTGCCCGACATGAAAATGAATATTTTTGTTTCCAATATACCAAATCTGCCAATTGGACTCACAGAATTGTGTCTACTATAACTCTACCTCATGGAGGTTATCGCTTACAATAAACCTGAATGATGAGATTGGTGGCCCGGCTCATCACATACACGTTCAACAAGTCCAGTAGAACCTTGATAATCTGAATAGAATAACCTACTAAATCGAACGACCTAAAACCTGAATCTGACTGTCATAGATGAAAAAAATTTGAATGAAGTCACGTGTCATGCAAATCATGAACAACTACATACATATGTATGTACTACATGTAATTTCATACCCTTCTACTTGATTCCTGTTCAGGCTGTTGTAATATTCAATTAAAGTTCTTATTAAATTATTGGAGCCTGAGTTTGTTGCGTGTTCATGTGAGCATTATTAGTTAATCCACACTTTTTGATGGTCAGAACTATCTTCAGTCTCAATTAATTTGGATTATAAAGATGCTGCTGTATAATGTTTTTTAGTTAGGCAAACCTATTTTCATGAAAATAATCCTTGATTTATCCTTTTAGTGCGATTTGTCATTAATTTTGACAAGGAACTGGAAGGTGAAAAATTCCTTGACTGTATTGTGACTGGTGATAAAACGTGGGTGACCTACTACACCCGAGATGAAAAGACAATCAATGCAGTGGCGATATCTATCTTCACCATCAGTAAAAAGATTCAAAACCTTTGTTTCAGCCCAAAAAATCATGGCAACTGTGCAAGACAATGCACGTCCCCACACAGCCAAAGCCACAAAGCAAATCTTGGATTCACTCGGTTGGTACATCATCAACCACCCCACTCACAGCCCTGACATTACTCATTCTGATTTTCATCTTTTCTTTTCTCTGAAGGTGTTTATGGGTGGGAAAAGATTTCACAGTGTCTTGAAACAGTGAGCCTGAGAGATGGCGGGAGATTTTTTGACAAAGGCATCAAAAAGCTCACCCCTCGGCTCACAAAGTGTATTAAGGTTCAAAAAATTGTGTTTGATGTACCTTTCTGAAAACGTAAATTTTTCATCGCGACGCAAAGGTCAGGATTGGGTATGCATCTCAGATTAATAAAAAGTTGTATACGCTATAAAAATGTTGTTTGAAATAACATAAAAATATGTACCTTTCTACCTTGATCATTTATAAAAAATGCTTCTGCTACTGTAGAATCTGAGGGGTCCGAAAATGCTATTGATCCTGGAATAGTAAATCATTAAATCAAATACATTATACACAAATAAAGTAAAACCAATATATTATATAAATAATTTTATACTTAAGAAAGCTGCTAATGCTATTTATTATTTCTTTAAAAGTATAATTAATTTCATTGTATAAAAAAAAATATACACAAGAAGCCTCATGCACTTACTTCTAATAAAGTCAACAATAAATCCTTCAGGAGGTTTGGGGACAGCATCGGATTTTAGTATTCCTGTACACTCAAAACAGTCTTGTTCAAAGTGGTCTTCACAAACACCCAACTTTCCAGAAGCCATTGTTTTCACAGTCTCTTCTGGTGTAGAGATAAGCCCTCCTCTATGACAAGCTGTAAGCCAAGCTATACACCTAGATAATTTACAAAGTAATGAAATATAATCAAAATTATATTGTACTGGGTATATTTAAATAAAAGACCCTCAACTGTTACAGTCAAATTGAAGCCTAAAAGTTTAAGTTAATTTGTGAAACCAATGAACAAATTATCTTCAAATTAGGCATGACTTATAATAGTACGAGTCCTAACAACTAAAGGTTGCGAAGGGACCTTATTTATCACAAATTAGATGCAAATTTTTTAAATAAAGTTTTTCAAATTCACTTCAACTTTACACAATAATAATTGTCACAAATTCAGTGTTAAGAATACTGATTGACTCGTCTTTATTAACAACAACAGTTGTACTCCAATGAAAATTAAACAAAAATTACATATAATACGTTCGGACAAAAGAGTTTGCTTATGGCTTGTTTGGTTTAGAGTTCTGATGAAAATCGATATATGTTGGAGACTAAATTACTGCCCACGGTATCAGAAGAATTTGGCGACAGAAATTTTATTTTACAATGGGACAGTATCCTCTGCCATACGTCCAAACTTACAAAAAATAGTTTTGGATATAATAATAATAGTCTTGAATTGACCGTCAAGAAACCCTAACCTAAATGTCATTGAAACATTATGACAGCATATGAAAACGTTCTTGCGAACAATCGCAACGGGCAACTCCTGATCTCAAAAGATAAATCCAGGAGATTTGTGAGTTTTTTAGTCTAGAATTTTATAGATACTTAGTCAATTCATAATAAATTCTCAATATTAGTTCCACCTAATAATTTATTAAGGTGAAATTTAATAAAGGACCTGTACCTTTTACCAAATTTGAAGATAATTAATTCATTGACTTTAAAGAACTCAAAAATATTTTCTTTAATTTGAACTTAAACTTGCCAACAAATTACCATAATTTGATCTCGATTATGTGGTGGCGTTTGTGCTTCTTGAAGTACAGGGTGATTCACAACTTATCCAAAAAAATTTGGGAATAGATGAGAAATGAAGTCAATACGTAAAAAAAATCTTTGTAAAATCCTTAATAGTTTCTGAGAAAAAAAAAATTATTGNTAATTAATTCATTGACTTTAAAGAACTCAAAAATATTTTCTTTAATTTGAACTTAAACTTGCCAACAAATTACCATAATTTGATCTCGATTATGTGGTGGCATTTGTGCTTCTTGAAGTACAGGGTGATTCACAACTTATCCAAAAAAATTTGGGAATAGATGAGAAATGAAGTCAATACGTAAAAAAAATCTTTGTAAAATCCTTAATAGTTTCTGAGAAAAAAAAAATTATTGAAGTTATAGTACTTTCAACCATTACATAGCTGGACAACTGTGTCTCTAGCGTCATTCGCACTACACGTAAAGACCCACATGGCCTCAGCGACTCCGAATACTGAAATCCGACTGTTTACAATAGTTTTTTAGTAGTTAGTGTCACAACTGGCTTGCATGTATAACAACTCGAGTTAATGGATATCGTTTTAATTTATGGTGAAGCAAGACAACATTTGTATTATGGTGAAACTTTTGTGTTATGGCGAGACAAGACAACATTTGTGTTAGTTCGTAGAAACTGAGTAAAACGGACACAAATGTGTTTACACGTCGGTGGACAAAATTTTGAACAGTTGTTGTAACATCAGATATGTCAAATTATTTTATTATTTAAAACCGCAAATTAATTTTATTAGTTAATAACAATAGTGACAAAAGCAGTTGAATTTGCTGATATACAAATGCTATAAAATTCTATTTATTTCTTTCCTTGCGAAATTCTTTAGAAAGTTTTTGTCATTTTTTTGCTTTGCTGCCATGCCGGTCACATTGTGCTAGATCAGGTTTTAGAGTGGACTAGTTTCCAGTGTCGTGCAGAAGTGTATTTTTAAATAATTTTTGAACTGCCCTTTTTGATTTTTTCGTAAGAGTCCCCTGTACATCCAAATTTTTTTTTTGGATAAGTTCTGAATCACCCTGTATATACCCTGTACATATTATTGCAAATTATATCTAAATTCAATATTTAGTTATAGAAGATAAAGACCCCATATAATACAAGGGAAAAATTAAAATTGTAGCACAATTTTATTCAAAAGTCTTGACGCAATTTATACTACGTCTTTTTAAGATAAATAAATAAATAAATAAATATGTATTAACATAAATAGCTTGAAGAGATAAACAATCAAATTATATAAAGTTTTTAATTAACATCCCTTTTTAAATAAATGTAAATGTATCTAAAAAATAGTTTAATTATTACCTATCTGGATCTTCAGGAAATTTAAACAGCCTTTTGTCTGTATGATTATTATTTGTACAATTTCCATATGCACAACACAATCTAGTATCCTTATTTGGGTCAGAGATACCTTTGGATAGTTGTTGGTACACTACTTTTGAACTAAATTGGTTAATATCGTGATCTGAAATGTTAATATTCACAGTGAAACAAAAAAAAAACGGTACTTTATTCTTAAAGTTCATTAATGGAAAAACTAATTTTTTCAATAAATTGGAAGAGTGTAACTGAGTAACTAACTATGTGTAAAATGGACCCCGAACGTTTTGAACTAGATTCGATGTTAACAGACAGTTGTAGCCCCCTGCCGTTATTGACAAACCTTAACACCAAGCAAACATAAAAAAATAATTTTGTGTCATTGCACACTATTCTACAATGAAACTGTACAAGCAAATTTGCCTGTAGCACCTTACATAAATTTTTATTCAAATCGTATATATTTCTTATTTATGTAACTCCCTTACGTCCCTCTATTACTAAATAAAATGACAATGGTATGAGATTTTAGTTGAGCTTTCTATTAACAGACGGCACAACTAAGGCATAACAAATTTTCGCTTCACTTTTATATTTTTTTATTTGCAAGTTAAATAACAATTTTGTAGGAATTGTTAAAATAGCAAGATATTTTCAATTAATTAAAAAAATACATATTGGTAAAAGTGTCAATTAGGAATTCAATAATCAGGTCTTAGTATCACATAAAATAGGCTTAAGGAATTATAAAACAGCAACGGATATATAAAAAGTAATAATAAAAAACTAGTATATGTAAGCAAATATTACCTGGTAGGAACAAGGTTGGAGCTGCAGTACTTTTAAGCACAAACTCACTTTCAAAGCAATCACGCTCGAAATGTCTTGCACAAACTCGATGTCTCATCACTTCTTTCATTTCTAACTTCCTTAAATCATGGTTTTTTATCATATACAACCACAGATTAAAATTGGAAGATTGAAACGCAGGAAAGGTATACATATGGCCACTCTGATTATTACAATTTGGTACACAACATCCTTCATAGAAATTTATACATGGTATGGCTCCATTCTTCAAAGTTTTACTTAAAACCACACCATTTTTATCAGTATAGTAAATTATATCACTTTCATGGAAGTGTTGGTGGCAGATAAGATCACCCACATGCAATCTTTGGTCTTTGCGATCTATACAAATATCCCATAATTTTCTTAAATTCCTATCATTTGGCGCTCTAAACCAATAAAGAAGTTCTTCCTCTTCATCATATATATTACAGTCAGGGACATAACATTGTGTATTTTGTTTCTTACTCTCTAAAAAGAAACATATAAAGAGGTTTGTATATCTATAATGTATACAATTTGTAACTAAAAAGCTGTGTCAGACTTTAATGGCAGATACTATGACACATATTAACAAAAAAAGTTCCATCAAATACATATCGGGAAATAATTCATTTACATGTTACAGAGTTTTCAAAATTAACGAATATACACGATCTATACACGTTGAAAAAAATAACATAGTGAGTGAAGCCATTTAAATCAATTTTTTAATCACGAATAAAGTAATTGCTGAAATTGTTATTATTTAATAAATAACTTGATATTTATGACACTTTTAGCAATAATATGGTCTGGCGTTTTACCAGGAAAGGAGCGCCGCCCCCCCTAGAAACATTTAGGTTACAATGTTATCTTGATAATTAAATAGATTAGCTTTATGAAACATAATAGGAAGGAAATGTTAAATTTGTAAGAGGCAGTCAATTTAACTTGACTTGCAAAATTCATTTGAAAAAGACTGAATACACGACTCCTCGTAGCTAGCTCCTAAAACTGTAGTGTTTACAGCGGTATGCTTACCGTCCTTATGCAGTGAAAGGTGGAGTGGGAGTAACGCATACTTACTATGCAGTTTATGCTCTGTTTAGTTCGCCCGTAACCAAATAATAGCTATTCACTGCTTTTTTTATTAAACGTAATTTACTTACGTGTGGTGTAAAATTTAGTTTGTAAAAGGTTAAATTAGATTGTAAAAACAGACTAACAGCACTTGCAATGCTACTATTGAAAAATCAATGGTACGAAAAATACCAAACTTTAATGAAAAAGTAATTGAAAAGTTTATTTAGGACAAGAGCAGAAGAATGAACTTTCACTATAAAAAATAATATTTTTCCTATATTTCAACACTAAATAAAATAAAACTATCCAATTATATTAGATTTTCTTTTTTTTTCCCCTCCCTGGTATGGAAGTCAAGAGCCGCCACTGCATTTTACTATGCATCTAGAAAACAGTGTTTCCTAATGACATGTATTATGAATTCATTTTTGTAAAGCCTTTAGTGTTTTAAATAAAAGTGAGTCCAATATACAGGGTGGTCCGAATTTTATGCAGGAAACTTCGAGGGCAGACAGATCTCTTTAAAATAATAGGCGTTTGCCTTATAAACATAGATCTAGAAGGGCCTCGTTTTAGAGATACAGGGTGTTAAAGTTGTTAAAAAGAATTGATTTTTTGTTTATATCTCCGGAATCTATCAATCGATCTCAATAAAATTTGGTATAGATAATGTATGACAGTAGGCCTTGCAAATGCGAGCTCTAGTGGTTCAACCAGTGGCGTACAACTGGACAGGGGTCGCCCTCTTTTTATAAAAAAACCTAAGCCACTGTATTTTTTACAACATATTGTAACGGATTTATATTCTAATGCACTAAATACGTAAGAAAGGTAACTTGAATTTTTTTCCCTAAGATTCGCCGTTCTCAAGTTAATCATACCAATACAGCCCCCTTGTGGCAGACATTTCAAACCATAATATTACAAGAATATTTATGTTTATGCTTGAAAGTAATAATTCAAATAGATGGTTTTCTAGAGAATTTGGATGGTAGCAAGAAGAAAGGTCCACAAACTTTATTGCGAATTATTCCGAGCCACACTTTCACAGAAAATTCGTCTTGAAAAGATCTTGTTCGAATTTCATGAGGATTGAACGTAGCTTCATCGACCCAAAGTATTTTTCGTAAGAATTCTGGATTATGTTGTGACTTTAACAACCACTGACAAAAATTCAGATGTCTCTCTGCATCTTCCGGAAGTAAATTTTGCACAGGTTGTAAATGGTACGGTTTTCTATGTAGAACTTTTCAAATTTTCGATTTACTCATCCCGAGTTGCCGAGACGTTTTTTAATCCAAAAAGATGAAAGCGACGAGTGTAAAGAATTTTGTTGAAGTGCTTACAAATTGCACTTACTTTTAAGCATAAACGTAAACACTATTGTAATATTATGGTTAGAAGTATCTGCCACAAGGGGATTGTATTGATATGAATAACTTGAGAACGGTAAAATTTACGGAAAAAATTCAAGTTTCCTATTTTACGTATTTTGTGCATTAGAATATAAATCCGTTACAATAACTTGTAAAAAATGCAGTGGTGTAGGTTTTTTTATAAAAAAGAAGTGATCCTGTCCAGTTGTACACCACTGGTTGAACCTTTAGAGCTAATATTTTAAGTAATGCAAGGCCTACTGTCATACATTATCTGTATTAAATTTTATTGAGATCGGTTTATAGATTCCGGAGATATAAACAAAAAATCAAATTTTTTTAACAACTTCAACACCCTGTATCTCTAAAACGAGGCCGTTCCAGACCTATGTTTATAAGGCAAACAGCTATTATTTTAAAAAGATCTATCTTCCCTTGAAGTTTCCTGCATAAAATTCGGACCACCCTGTATTTTCGAACGCAAATTGCGAGCGACATTTACCAACTTCACCCTAGAAACTAATTATTTGCTATAAAAAACTGTGACATGTTTGTGGATAATCATTACACGCCAGATTTGAATCAAATCGTAAAATCTGTTGTAATTAAAAAAAATACAAAATTTGTTCAAATGAACATTAAACTTTTCCAGAAACGTTTATAAACTCCTGTTTAAAATTAACACACCATTATAAAACCAAAATTTTGTTGCTACTTTTTTTCGTAACGTGGAGCTCGATTATTGATGGTGAGAGAATAGAGTGCTCCCTGGGAAACGTTCCCTCATTTCGCTCTACTACTGTTCTATCACAAAATTCATACAATATTCTCGACACAAAGGGATCGAGCCATGAAAGTGAAGAACGAGGAAATGTACCGAGCAATCAGAAAGCAGTAAATAGTCGGTGTAATGAAAACTAGTGATGAAATAAGTGCAACTTTATTTAGAGTTATTGTTATTTGTTTGTCAGTGTCAGTCTAAAAAGGAAAGAAAATGGAAATTTATAAAAAACCGAAGCAAAATCCAGTAAGTTCTAAAAAAAACTTCTCAGAATATATTGAGGATAACAAACAAATGTACACTGGAAAATTAACACCTATCTACACTAGAGAGAAAATGAGGGCTAACTGGAAGAACTTACAAATATTTTAATACCAGGTATATTAGGCAGATCCTTTTTAATCTATTATTATTTTATTCGTGTACTGTACAATCGTTCAAGTAAACACAAATTATACGAACGTTTCCTCAAAGTTTTCGAAGGATATCACCACAAAACAGTAACTAGAGATATTACAGACAGATTGCGCAATTCTTAATTTGTGAAACATGTCAAAAAATATATCCCTGCCTGTTCCCCCGAAAATATCAGTAGACAAAATAGGAAACAATTCCTCTATCATTAATCAATAGAACACCATTCAAGAATACCGATTAATGCGTTTTAGTAGAGACACGCCCCCTTTCTCTCGTTCCTTCTACTCCGTATAATTCAAGAATAAAGTCCCCGGAGTCCGATGTCAGTGATTTTTTTTTGCATTGTAGGTTTGTTTCTTGACAATGACGCTATACTTCTTGTTTTTGATAAAACGTTAATTTTCGGTTTATACCGGGCGTAATAAAAATAGTTTTTTTTCTTTTCGTAAATTTGTAACACCTTGTGGAGTATATCAGTAACTCTAACATATCGTAATTGAAATCAAATTGTAGCCCCCTCTTTCCTTAACTTTTTGTTTTTTTATTCACTTTATTATCACTATTATTAAAAGTGATACACCGCCTTTTTCAATTTTATGCATAATTAATAATGTAAATTTAAAATGAAACAAGTTTATTCAGTAATGAATACAAACAAACCATCAAGTTTTGAGAAACCTAATAATGTGTAACACCGCCTCTAGATCGGATAACTGCCTGCATTCATTGTGGTAAACTTTTTATTAGCTGCTGAATTCTTCCCTGAGGAATGTTTTCCCATTCCAAAAGAACAGCGTTTTTCAGCCCTTGAAGATTCTGCGGTGTGGGTAAATGACGCCTAACAGATTTTTTTAGAGCATCCCAAAGATGCTCTATAGGAATCATGTCTGGGCTCCACGGTAGCCAGTCCAACACCTGAATACACCTGCTTTAAGTATTCCAAAACGGCGCAAAAGGCATTACGTGATCTTGATCAATATTTTCCAAGTAAAATTAAGCATTCATTGACCTTGGACGAATTGGTACTAACTCTGTACAGGCATTATAGCAAATACCTCCTCAAAACATTCTAGACCAGACACCAAATGGTTCCTTCGACAGGATGTTACAGGTAGCAAATCTTTCTCCAGGTCTTCGCCATACCCTTTCACGATCATCTGAAGACTTCGAGCTTACCCTGGTCTCATCGAAAGATAAAACTTCTTTCCAGTCGTCAACAGTCCAATTTGCATGATTTCTAGCAAATCTTAATCAGGCTACTTTATGTGCTGCGGTAAGCAGTGGTCTAACTGCAGGCCTCGTACTAGCTAATCCTGCTTCCTTTAAACGTCTCCTGACAGTCAGAGAAGAAATCATAACATTTCTTACATTTTGAAGTTCACTGCTAACCTTCTTACTTGTGCTTTTTCTGTTTCTCAAAACAATTTGACGGAGAAAACGCTCATCCCTTGGACTCGTCAATTTCTTTCTTCCCTGCCCTTGTCTTCTAGAGTACAGTCCTGTTTCCCTATATCTTCTAGTCATACGTCTAATTGTGGAATGGTTAACATCTAACAGATTGGTCACATAATGCATACTTCGTCCTTCTACTAAAGTTATTGCTCTTATACACTCATCATTCGTTAAATTACGGGGTCGATTCATATTTCTGAATTTTAAGGGTTTTAACTTAACTTCTCTTTCGATACTAACAAAGACTTCTGACTTTTCATTATCAGAAAAGGTTTTGAAACTGTCAAGCTTTAATCCACCATGACATAAGTCGTCTACGATTTGTTATAATATTGCAGTAAATCAGTCAATAATAAGGTAACTTGATTAAAACACGACTGTATGCGATAGCAAAATGAATAAAAACACATTGAGCTAAAAGGCGGCATATCTCCTTTAATAATAGAGATAATAAAGTGAATAAAGAAACAAAATGTTAAGGAAAGATGAGGCTACAATTTGATTTCAATTGCGATATGTTAGAGTTACTGATATACTCCATAGGGTGTTAAAAATTTATGAAAAAAAGCACACGTTTTATTACACCCAGTATAAACCGAAAATTAACGTTTTATCAAAAACAAGAAGTATAGTGACATTGTCAAGAAATAAACCTACAATGCAAAAAAAATCATTGACATCGGACTCCTGGTTACGAAAAAAAGTAGCAACAAAATTTCGGTAAATTTAAAATGGTGCGTTAATTTTGAACAGAAGTTTATGAACTTTTTTCATTAATTTATGATATACAGGGTGTTTGGAAAAATTGGTACAAAATTTAAGGGGTTGAAAGTAGAGCTAAAAATAGTAAAAAAAGTTCCTATAAACATTGGTCCACCGGAGTACCGTTACCGAGATATGGCCCTCCAAAGGGTCTTATCATTTGGACATTTTTTTAAATAACTTTCTTTCTGATGAAGATAACAGAATGCAAATTGTAGGTAATAATCATACCATAAGGGTCTTTAACTACCATAAGTTTAATTGAAATCGGTTATAAATAAGGATAGTTTTGTAACTACTCTTGACAGAAATTTTTCGAATTTTTTTTATTCCTTTGAATTATCAAGCAAATAATATTATTTTTTAATGAATTAGACTTTTTTGAAGAAAAAATGTCTACTTTTTTTTCGAATTCTGCGTAGTTTACTCAGAAATAATTATTTTTTAAATAATGTTTGGTTCAGAACAGTAACATTTTTTAAAAAATTTTTACATAGTAGGCATCTTTCATAGTGACAGTTTCATGGTAATGATACTAATGATTGTCACTTTCACGTGCTATGATTTAAATACTTATGTTTCTTTATTTTCTTAGTTGGGATCTTTGTGCTGAACTTTGCATTCCATTCGATTTTTTTACAACCATGAACCATCATGCTTTTATTAACCGTGAATATGCCGATATGCATTTTATTTATGTTTTTCTGATAGAAGGCAACCTTTAGCAAGATTGTTTTGGAAAATTCATGGTTAGTAAAAGCATGATGGTTCATGGTTGTAAAAAAATCGAATGAAATGCAAAGTTGAGCACAAAGATCACAACTAAGAAAATAAACATAAGAATTTCAATTATAGCACACGAAAGTGACAATCATTAGTATCATTACCATGAAACTGTTACTATGAAAGATGCCTACTATGTAAATATGTTTTAAAAAATGTTACTGTTCTGACCCATATATTATTTAAAAAATAAATATTTTTCTGTACCGGGAAAAAAGTTTGACATTTTATCTCTGTTGACAGGTAACAAAATGTCACTTTTTATGAAATTGCTTTTTTCCCCGGGAAAAAAGTGAGTACTTTTTTCCCGGATATATACAATATACATAAGTAAAGGTAGATATTTAAAATAATTTTTGTGACGCTACTTTCGCTGCTTCTACTAACTCCGGTGGAGTCAGAGAAAACTCGGAATCAGACATTTTTTAACTTTATATTATTCAAAATAACTACTAAACAACCACTAAGTTTGCAATTTTTAAATCAAATCACAGAATTAAATTGACAGATATTTGATTACTTTAAAGGTTTCCTTAGCAACGCAGATGTAATTGTCGCTATAAGTATAACAGCCTACCAATTTAAAACTTTAGTGACTAATATATTGTAATAATGTTTTTTCAATATTAAATCGTTGTTTTTCCCGTCACAGAAAAAAATAATGTATTATACATGGAAAAAAAAGTAGATTTTACCTCTCGGTTTTTTGTCTCCCTCCGCTTCGTGTCAGGAGACAACACAACCTCGAGCTAAAATCTAGTACTTTTTTCCCTTGTATAATAAATATCTATTTCTGACTAAACTACGCAGAATTCGAAAAAAAAAGTAGACATTTTTTCTTCAAAAAACTAATTCACTAAAAATTAATATTATTTACTTGATAATTCAAAGAAATAAAAAACTTCAAAAAATGTCTGTCAAGATTAGTTACAAAACTATCCTTATTTATAACCAATTTTAATGAAACTTATGGTAGTTAAAGACCCTTATGGTATGATTATTACCTACAATTTTCATTCTGTTATCTTAATCAGAAAGAAAATTATTTTAAAAAATATCCAAATGATAAGACCCCTTTGGAGAGCCTTATCTCAGTAACGGTGCTCCGGAGGACTAATGTTTATAAGAACTTTTTTTTACTATTTTTGGCTCTACTTCCACCCCCTTAAATTTTGTACAAACTCTTCCAAACACCCTGTAGAATCTGCCACTAAAGTGTCGAAATATTTTAGTTACACTTTATATGACGTTAAAATTCCAGAGTAACAAATATAGGCTGTCATCAAAAGCGCAGTTGTCCATATTTGTTTATTGTAACAAAACTTACCCATTTTAATATTTAAAAGTTGTAAGAGTATAGTTATGACTCATGATGGGCATGGAAGTTAATCTTATAAATGTAAATATCTCGGTTATTGAAAGGTTTTATTAAGCCCGTTTTAAAAAATGATATATTTTTATATCTACAAATGGTAGTTAAAGAGAAAATATCACTTTTAACGACACCCATATACAAGTATGCACGTAGTATGCGACAGAACCTCCTAGGCAGAAATTTTCTCTTATTCAAAGTCAATTAATCAGGGTGAGTTGTAATTAGGTAGTTATAAAACACAGCAATTAACTGACAGTTATTTGTTTTTAGACATAATTCTTTATTGGTAGAGAATTTGAAAAAGCGTAGGTGTAGTTTATAACTCCACTTTGTCTACCGTAAAAGTGATACATTATACTTATTACTTGTTTATACATCACATTCATGGGTTGACTTTTGAATGGGGGTAAGTTGGTATAAATCGTAAAAAGCATTTAATTTAATTACAAATTTAGCAAACAAACTAGGACACTTCCAAATTTGACTGTCTGTGAACTGATAACTGGAACACAAACTTAAAATTTTTTTCTCAGAAACTATAACTTTTTTGCACAAAATAAAATGTTTTAAACATATGACTTCCAGATAATCTTAACGAACTCTATGTTTTAGTTAAAAAATAAGCTCATATTTGTCTTCTGCTGCTCTAAAAATCCTTCTATATTAAATTATTAAAATATCTTAAGTAACGGAGTTAACTTAAAAAAAATAAATAAAAAAACATTTCTTTGAACATTTTTTGCTTCCTTTTGATCAGAAATATTGATGATAAAGCTACAGCATTTGGTAAGTCACTCTCAATGATATTAGTATTATTACATCAAACTAAGGCATTCAATTTAGTATCTTTTGACTTTTTATTATCAAGTTATTTTATATCGGATTTGATCAAATATTGTAGTTTCGTAGTTACTTACAAAATCGATTGAAATGGTGGAAAAAATCATTCACAATTAAAGTCAGTAAAATGTGGTGTACCACAAGGTAGCATCTTGTGACCAATTTTGTTTTCTATTTTTATATTTGACCTACCGAATGCAGTGAAATATGGAAGATTACACGTGTAAGCAGATGATATACAATTGTACAAATATTGTTCGTACTGAATCAATTGAATCAATAAATTGTGATTTGAATAATATATATTATTGGTGCAAGAACAATGGTCTCTATTCCCTTTCTGTAACATACTTACTAGTGGGTATATCGGCATTCAATTCTATTTGTTGTCTGGTATCTTTGTCATCATGTATTAATTTTGCTTCAGCTTCTTCATCAGAAATAATTTGTATTTCTTCCGTCTCAATTTTAATTTCATCTTTTATCTCCTCCGCATCAGATAGATCTAAATCTAAATTTACCACCTCATAATGAGTATCATTAACAACTGCAATAAAATATTTTAAAAATAAATGGACCAATATCCGGAAATATATTTTTTAAATACCTGGAATTTTTGGAATATGTTCATTGACAAGTAACTTTCCCTGGCCTTTTAATTCAGTTAAGTGAATAACAAAAGGATGGTTTTTTGTTCCAATTTCTTGTTCTTCAGACTCATTGTCACTTTCGATTACAAACTCAATATTATCTACACTGTCACCAAATAAAGAAAGACTACTGGGGGCAGTGATTTCTAATGGATCTGTATCTAAAACAAATAATGGAGTGATTTAAAAAAGTGAAAAACATAAATGCAATGTTCTTTACATATACAGGTTGTTAAAAAAAGAGTGTAAAATATTTCAGGAGGTAATTGGATGAACTAAAATAAGCAGAAAAGTTTAAACATGGGTCCGCAAAGTAACGGTTGCGGAGATATGGACCACTATTCGTTTTTCAAACATTTTATTTTATTGGGATAAAACCGACAAAGGAAGCTTTTAACAAACAAAAAACAAAGTTACAGAAGATGTTCAAAGTGCCCTCCGTCAATTTCCAAGAAGGCACGACATCTTCGTCTCAACAATATTCGAACTCTTTCGAAAACACCCTCCTTGGTTTGGATTTCTTGACACTTTTGATTAATCCTAGCTGCAGCTCTTCCAGGCTATTTACAGGAGTACCATACACTAATGTCTTCAAATATCCCCAAACAAAGAAATCTAGAGGGTTCAGATCAGGCGATTTTGGAGGCCATAAAACAGGTCCAGCCCTTCCTACACATCTATGTGGAAAAGTTTGGTGTAAATGCTCTCTAATGGCCATGGAAAAATGAGCTGGAGCACCATCATGCTGGAACCACATTTGCTGCCTCTGATTCAAAGGAATGTCTTCCAAAAACTCACACAGTGTGTTCTGCAGAAAGTTGAGGTAAGCAGTGCCTGTTAATCGGTTTGGTAAAACAACAGGACCTAGAAACCTGTCACCTACAATATCCATCCAAATGTTTAATGAAAAACATGCCTGATGTCCAGATTCTATTAGAGCATGAGGATTTTCGTCGGCCCAAATATGCGTATTGTAAAAATTAAACACTCCATTTCTTGTGAACCCGGCCTCATCAGTAAAAAGAATGTTTACAAGAACACGAGGGTCTTTAGCATCATGACGTAGAAACCAGCGGCAAAAAACCAAACGTACTTGATGATCATTTATTGGATTTAAGGCCTGTACTCGTTGCACATGGTATGGATAAAGCAGTTGCTCGTGAAGGATTCTCCAAACAAGAGGACCACTAATTCCTACCTCGACTGATATTCTCCACACACTCGTACCTGGATTCTGCTCTACCAGTGCTAGAATTTCTTCTTCTGCTCTAGGAGTGGATACCAACCTTGGTCTTCCGGATAAATGGCACTGTTTGCTCAAGGAACCGGTATCACGCAATCTTTGGTGAATTCTTCCAAACATGCGTTGTGAAGGAATCTGGCGATTTGGATAAGCGTCAACATAAAGACGTAGAGCTTCGGTGGCATTCCCATTAGCACGACCATACATGAAATGCATGTCTGTTAATTCTGCGTTAGAGTAACCAGCCATAGCGAAAGAAAACTTGTGCACTAAGAACAACTGTCAAATACGTACTGTTTATTTCACTAAACATCAACCAACTATTATAAGAAAATACACAACGTTTTTGCAAAATAAAAAAAGGGGTTAAAAAACATAAAACATTCCATATCTCCGCAACCGTTACTTTGCGGACCCATGTGTATTGAGACTTTTCTGCTTATTTTGGTTCATACTATTACCTCTTTAAATATTTTACACTCTTTTTTTAACACCCTGTATAATATGCTGCTTTTTTACCTGTACTGATAATTTCTGTAAAATTTATGGAGTTCCTAGTATCATTTATATCCCTGAAAAAATATAAACATTTTTATAATTTTACAAAATGAGTAATATTCAAAATATTTAGATATGGATACACGAGACCACATGAGACTCATACTATTTTTTTAGCGGATGATTTCCATACACTTAAAGATAATTTCCATCAAATGATTTTTAACAAAACTTGTCAAACAAAAAATTTAACTTGGATAGCCTACCCAAAAATCTTAAAAAGAGTTGCATATACAGGGTGTTTCAAAATAACGTGTACAATGGAAGACCACAGATTTGTGGGCTTAAAATAGGCAGATTTAGGCTAATTCACCTATGTCCAAAATCACTTCGTTTGGCCGCTAGATGGCCTCAAAGTTTGTGAAATTTTTTTGATTTTTGTAAATAACTCGAATACGTATTATTCTATTTTGATTATTTTTGGAGTGTGGACTTTTGTTTTTAAACTACGCATTTTGGTGGTATATAGTGTTTTTTAAAACTTACAACTCCTACAAAATTGATGTATGGTGATAATATCTGCTCAAAACTTTTTCCTCTTTCGAGCAATAATAATGACAAATATTTTTTATTTGATAGGTAATACCATTTGGAAGTTTTTGGACCTCTTGTAAAATTTTGTTTAAATTAGCGGTTTGTGTACAAAAAAGTATTTTTTAATTGTATACATTATCTTGCCACCCTTATTACAATATTTAACAAAGTGCTAATAGGCTTTGACTTTATAGGTTGACTGTAATTTCAGTTTGCTCTTATTTGGGATAGCATTGGCTCTATTATTTTACCCAACAAACTGAATGGGAAATTTTAATTAGAATTTTTGCAAAACCTGAGTTATTGGAAGATGTGCCGTTATTACTCAGAATTAACATTGGTTTATGCAATGTTGCTCCACCACATTTCACTGTAAATGTCCGGCAGTATCTGAACCAAAGATTCACTCGTCGATGGAGAGAGGGAATAATTTTTTGTTAACTGGCCTGTACGTTCACCAGACTTAACACCTTCCGACTATTATCTGTGGAGCACTCTGAAAACAACAGTGCATGATTCCACATTTAACACTGAACTGAGTTGTGGAGGCATATCCAAAATGCCATAAATGTTTTAAAAAATAGTTCGCAGAATTAACCTTTGTTGTAGAAACAACGATGGTCATTTTGAACAGTTTTTATAATAAATTATATTAAATTTAATAATCTTAACTTTGTTACTTTTATCTCCAGAATTTTTTATTGTAGTTGATTTGTTTTTACGAATTATTTCAATAAAATTAGACACGCTGTAAATAATTCGTCGTATGTGTGTATCCATATTGAAAAATGAAGTAACATGTGGTATATTTTATCGTAGTTAACTCTAATTCATCGTATGCTTGTATCCATATCGAAAAATGAAATAACATGTATATTTTATCGTAGTAAACACTCATTAAGAACTGGCAGGTACAATGACTAAAAGATCAAACTGATATTACAGTCAACCTACAAAATCAGTGACTACTAGCACTTTGTTAAGTATTGTAATATGGGTGGCAAGATAATGTAAGACATTAAAAAAATATTTTTTTGTACCCAAACCACTCATTTAATAAAAATTCTATAAGAGACCAAAAAAACTTCCAAATGGTATCACCTATCAAATAAAAATAGTTGTCATTATTGCCCGAAAGAGGAAAAAGTTATGAACGGATATTATCACCATACATCAATTTTGTAAGAGTTGTGAGTCTTAAAAATAGTCTGTATAACATCAAAATTTGTAGTTTGAAAGCAAAAGTCCACACCACCCCAAAAATAATCAAAATCGATTAATTAACTTTGAGGCCATCTAGCGGCCAAACGAAGCGAATTCGAATATAGGTGAATTACCTTTCTGCCTGTTTTGAGTCCACGAATCTGTGGTCTTCTATTATACACGTTATTCTGGGACACCCTGTATACATACAAAATATATATTTTTAAATTAAATGCATTCAAGTATTTTTCACAAAATTTCATTTTGTTCATAGTTATACGTAAATTTTAATTTAATAGTAACATTTCATTTTTTAAACTTCATAATGCTATAACCACAGCATATACACTAGAACCCTGATTATCTATGTTTCATTACCAGATAATTGAAAAATGCTGATAATCAAAATATGTAGTTATTTACTTTATATACAGAGCCTTCATAAATGACTACAAGCCACGTGACCAGTAATTTTATTTCCTTCACATTGGCAAATAAATTTCGATAAAATAAAACAATAAAATCAAGATTATATTAAAACACAATGTTTTGTTTCATCAGCTGAAATTCTTCAGGAGATTCTATTCAACCAATCAGTAATCTCATCTTATTATTATCTCATGAACGTTTTATCATTGTTCATTGGAAACGAATCATTAATATTGGTGATGCCAAGATTTAGAAAATTTTCATTATCAGCACAGATTTATGTAGATATGGGTAATAAAATTGAATAATATTTATTTTTAATGTGCACTTACATTCAGAGCGTTCATCAATAATTACTGTGAGTCATATATGTCGCCATAATCCAATTCCTCTTCTAAGATGGAGTTGTCAATTTTTGATATATTCATGTTATTATGTGTCGATTATTTTAAATATTGCAATTTTAATAGGTTTAGGCCCTGTACTTTAATTCTCGGTTAAAGCCAAAGTACCGGACCTTAGTATGTCCATGACAAATAAGTTTGAGTAGAAATTAATTTTCAATCAAAGAAGCAAGTAGGTAGCTTACTAAACATAATTGAGACTTAATCTGTAAGTTATAATAATAATAATAATAACAATAAAGGCTGTTTATTTCCAACAGGTAAGAAAACCCAATTATAGGAAACACATAATCAACAATATTTACAATTGAATAATAAAAAAAATAAATAAATAAATAAATAAGATACTTTTAAAGGCATGCGTGTTACAGTATATATGAAGACAATTTGAACATAAAGAAATTCGCATTAGGTTGATAATAGTACAGAATTTTAATCAATATCAATTTGGCGGGTTTATATAGTTATATAGTTATGCAGTTAGTACGGACAATTAATTTACTTCTACTACTAATTCATTTCAAATTTCCTTATTATCATCTAATTTTGTCCTGTAATGGAATATATGCTACTTTTTTTTTCAAATATTGTCATAGATGAAATAATATGGAAAAACTTGATCTGTATTTTAGCTGGAAACAAACTTCAGGGGCAAGGAAGTTAAAAGATTTTCAACCTTTTAAAGTTGGAATTTGCATTTCAAACATTGTAAAAACCGTATGTTGAATGTTCCAAGAGAATGATTAAGAGAATTATCGATTAAATTGTATGTAATGTCTCCTTATCTTCTAAAATATGTAGTTAACCTTTAGGGGGCCGGAGTGTCCCCAAAAGATGTCACACATATAATGATAGTTATATCAAGCAATACTGATTAAGAAAACCTTTTTTCCTTTGAAACGCTGGAAGAAAGCAGCAGACTTGTATATATAAGACCCTCATGAGGCGATGATGAACAAAGCATTCAGCTTTTGTGAAATTTTTGTCGATTCTGACTGGTAGGTATTCCTAACTATGCTATGGCATTCCAATCTTTTGTTTATTCAAATAAAAATTTAAAAAAAAACAAAAAATAATAAAAATGGAAAACTAAAAAATAATACCAAATAAAAAACAAAAATAAAAAAATAAAAACAAAAAAACATAAATGGAGTACATTACTTTCTAAGTTGTCGCCGCTAATCATACCTCTTGAAAATATCGAATTTCAAGGGAAAAATGAAGATCTAAAGGTTAATATGCTATTTTCCTTCCATTTAATGGTTCTCGGAAAATATTTTCAGTGTAAATTCACTGGGAGGCACATACAAAAAGCAGACAAGACTGTAAGTTGTTACGAAACATAGTCTTTCTTTTAACAGCTCTGTATATGTCATACTGAAATGAAGGAGATGCGAAAAGTAATTACGTAGATTATGTACAGGGTATCTCAAGCTCGATACCCCAAGGTTGCTATTGGCTAATAAAAAAACGTGAATAAAAATTTCACGAGGTTTTCAAATAGGACCACTTAGGCTTGCCTTTGAGCCAAAAATAATATTTTTGGAACTTTTGCAAATGCCTACGTCATGAAATATATTTTTCCCATAAACATAAGTACCTATTTCATTTCATATTAAAATAGACAAAGTATCTTCCATAAACTTTCAACACACAACAAACTTTTCTGATATCTCCTTTCATTTAGAAGTTAAGAGCAGAAATGTGAAAACGCGCTTATTTTAAATATCTCGAACAAAATCAAATTAATCAATAGGGCATCGAGCTTGAGATGTACAGTTGACGCCACCCAAATGTGAACGCATTTTGGTAGTTATGGAAATTTCATCTGGATTTTATCGTAGTAAATCAGACTTTTTTTAGTGGCGTAACACAGAGAGGGTATTCTTATGGATAAATTTGACCAAGGCATTGTCTTCCGTGTCACTGGAAACCTTCTCGACACCTTGCCTGATAGATCTTTGTAATTATTGTTCTCGCCAGCGTTGTTTAATATAAAATATACAACTCTTACTGACATTTAAATCAGCAGCCACTTCACTCAAAAACCAATTATCTTCTAATTTAGCTATAGCCCTTGCTCTATGCGCTTCAGTTAACTGCTCCGGCATATTTCACGTTACTTATTTACATTTAATTACATTTGCTCTAAGTGACATATATGACATATGAATATTTGACAACTATTGAATTTTACGACTATGATTTGAAGTTTAAATTACACGGTACAATATTGCCGTTCACATTTGGGTGGCGCCGACTGTACCTGTACCCTGTACAGATATACATTTTTTGAAAATTGAAAGAAATTTAATTGATTTTAATAATCATTTATACATTTAATTTGTAGGTATATTAATTCGTTTCACGATTTTCACCCATTTTGAATTTTATGAAAAATGATTATGTAGTTAATGATTTCCACATTATACAAGTTTTAAATGTTTTATTACACACAACTGGCTGGCAGTTGAGTGTATCGTGTAGACTGAAAAGGATGTACAGCCTGCTTATGATTTCAGTTCATTTGAATTAGCTGGTATACCTACTCATATATTAGTTGCTACCTGTTTACTTATTAGTTGATTATGAAAAAAATATATTTTGCATATATACATAGCCTCAATCCTTATTGAGATTTAAGGAAAGGCTATTATAATTTTTTATCTTTTATTTCAGAAATTTTGTTTGGAATTTGTTCTTCATGAAAATTGTCTCTGTGAGCCTAGAAATCATCTCCTAGAGAAAGGTATAGACCTGCACATCATCAATACATAACAAGACTTTAATTTTCACCAGCCACCACTGCTACCTACTCACCTTGCTCTATTAGATTCGCTTTCCGAAACTTTATTTTTGTTAATTAAACTGCTTGGTTTTAAATTCAAAGATGGTACGGCATTTTTCTTCAGTTGCATTCTGCTGCCCATCTTTACGACATCCTCTGGTTTGAAATGTTTTGAGCATATAACATTATCATATGATACTTTATCTGATGGATTTCTTCCAATTGCTTTCATCCAAGAATTGTAACGTTCTTCTGTGATTCTAAAAATAAAAAACCAAATGACGATGTTTTACTTATTTTTTGGTATCTGCAATTAATACGTATTTTCAAAACACCAACGTGTAAAACATTAAGGAAATACTCACTTAAAAAAATTAACATTATGATTTGACTGATAATTTTTACAAAAAGCAACCAAACATTTCTTCATTTTATAAGACAGCTAAACACGAGAAACGATGATAATCTGGGATAATACCAAACAAAATACTACAATAACCAGTTAGTAACCTCACATTCACAATCACAATAAATAAAGAAATTGGAAATTAAATTGGCCTTGGCCATGGAGACTACACAGTACCATAGATTGTATAGAATGTTAGTACTATATTTTCTATGCACAGTACACTCACAAATTAGAGGGCGCTAGCACAGAATAGATATAATTCTGTGGCGCTAGTGTCTCAGAAGTACCGAAATAGTGGAGCAGGGATAACAGCATAATGCTCGAAGTAGTGATGGACATAATCGACCAATTTTGATAATCGAGTTATCGGTAACCGCCGCTATTATTCCATGGCTAGAAATTGGCCTCAATGATTTGGGATCGAGGGGGATTATCCCTCTTTATTCTGCCTCATCTCGTGTAGGCCCGGACAGCCTTCGTAGGTGGGCCCCATCCGTCGTCTACCCCGACCGCAAATGCGGCCGGTGTAGGCGCTTTGTGGGACCTCCTTTTG